CACACACACACACACACACACACACACACACACACACACACACAGGAACCGAGGTGTCAAAGTGCATTAAGCAACATTATAATGCAGGAAGTGTAGCTCTTCCTGCTCTGTCGATGTATAAAACGATAATCATAACAAACCTGGTGAGTGGACAGATCCTGGACCAGATGCTACACATTCTAACCTCTCTGTGTGGTTAACGTCCTCAGAGCTGAACCAGGTTCACACTGAAGACCATGAAAACAGTGTTTCTACCGGAGACATGTGGTCTTTAAAACAGCTACTCATCACTGATAGAATATGAGAGACCGGTCCACCGTGGACAGACCCAGATCCTCCGGCAGAGACCGGTCCACCGTGGACGGACCCAGATCCTCCGGCAGAGACCGGTCCACCGTGGACGGACCCAGATCCTCCGGCAGAGACCGCTCCACCGATTCATCAGTTTATTATTTTGTCTATTATTTAATTGTTTGTTCTATAAAATGTCGATCAGTGTTTTTAATGTTTCTTTTTGCACTTTGTCTTTTGATGTTTTTGTTGTGTAGTGAATATATCTATAAGAATATAATATGAATATATATTTATATTAGTTTGAATGTAGTACACGTTCTTTTGTTGTGATGTTGTTTGTACTTGATTATTGATTGTTAACATGTAGAAACATCTGGAACATCTTCTTTTACTGATGCTGGTTAGGAAATGAATATCTTTCTCATCAGCTGCTCTGCTTTTATTTTCTTAATGAAGTAGTTCAGCCCAGAAGGTAAAGCAGGTATGTGATCGATGTTTTGGGGGAAGTTATCACTATTATATAAATCCTTCCATCATTGAATTATAACATCTGTATTTAATTCTGAGCAGCTTCATTTTATATGTTTTAAACAGAAATGTTTCTGAACACAAAGACATCAAATAACAAGTATCATCAAGAATCATTTATTCCTCCACAGTCAGAGACAAACACGCTTCCTGTGTTACTTTTATTCTCCTGTTGTAGTTTTTAAACTTGTTTGTGTGATTCACATTTCTGTACAAGTAATGTAGACGAGTTTATCCAAAATTAAAAAAGAAAGAAAGAAAGAAAGAAAGAAAACAGTTGAGAGAAATAAAACGCAGATTTCAAAGTCTTCTGCTAAAACAAAAACAAACTAAACAAGACTGAACGAACAGAGTGATGATCACATTGATAATAAAACCATCACGTGTCACTTTATGACAAATAGAATCATAGCTCGTCATCTACGAAACCAACGAGAGACGTGTTCATCTGATGCTCGTTCATTGATATTAGATAATCCATCCAATCAGAGCTGCACGTCAACGTCACAGACGGTGGCCGTTAGTCTCGGGTGTTTGGAGTTTAAGTAGCCGGCGAAGTCTGAAAACCAGAAGCCGTGAGAGGAGAAACCAGAGCAGAGAGCCAAGTTTCACGTTACATCCTTTAGATGCATGTGGTGCTCAGAGCGACTCCAGTTCAGAAGACAGAGGAGGAGGAGCGGTGTTTAGACTTTCTAAACGTCTCCTTCTGTAAACTAAACTCACTTAAAGCGACGCACCGATTCACACTTTCTCTCCCCGATACAGTCTGATTCCTGAAGAACGTATCAGCTGAAGTCAGAGCAGTGCTCATTTATCTGCATCTTTAAAATCTGCCTCTTAGTGGAAAAACAAGGTTTCTGTAGAAAAATGACAAAAAAAAAAAAAAGAAGATCTGTGGCTCGACACAAACGACTGAACTGACGTTTGAAACATTGAGAAGAATCTGTATTAAATCTGTCTCACCTCACAGATCCTCTCATCAGGATCAGTGCCCCCCCGCCCCCCCCCCCCCATGTACATTTAGTAAAGTACACCAATAAAGGGATTACAAAGTGTCCCTGTTGTCTAAATACTGTCGACTGTGGTGTTTAAATGGAAGCTGCTTGAGAGTGAATTCTGCACACAGGAAGTAGCCGACTCCACATCCGACAACAAACTCCACCCCGATAGTTCCTGGGCCGTCGGAAAGCACTTTGAGGGACCAGGAACTACATGAACAGGGCTCAGTCTGTTCAGTGACCATCCTGCTCTCTGTTTGGGAGCAACAACTCAAAATGCTTTGTGTGAAAAGGTTCAGCAACAACTACAACTCAAAGTCCTGTTTGTAGTTTCTGCGAGTAATAACGACATTAAACTCACTCAGACCGGCTGTAAACAAACCTGTAGCTCATGTATTTGGAGGAGAAACCTGAAATGTTGGTAATTATCCCTCACTGCAACTACGGCAAGTGAGACGGGTCAAAAGGTGGAATGGGAAGTCGATGACGGACGTTTCACGACGGAGAATTTGGTCGATAATTTCCCCGTTTCACCTTCGTTTTCTCCTTCATGAGTAAGGTTTGTTCACATCCATCAACGTGGAAAGTGAAGCTTCATTATCAGCGGAAAAATAACAGATGAAAGTATGAAAAGTTAACTTTGACGTGCAGGAGACCGACCGTCCGTTAGCTGTGACTCACTGCGGAGGAGCGTTGTGCTCGCCGTTGTCCACCGTCCTGATGATGACGATCTGCTCCAGGCTCTGTGCCGGAGACGGCGGCGGCCGCAGCTGCTCCACCAGAGCGTGCAGCGTGTCCGAGTTGATGGTCTGCTCCTGGTCGGCTTCGTAGGTCACCTGGTCGGCGGCGGCGGCGATGGCGGTGTGAGTGGGCTCCGCCTTGAAGTCCTGAATGACGGCGGCAGTGGCGGCTGCAGACGGAGGCGGGGCTTTGGGGTTGGGGGTGGTCGGTTCGGGGTTCGGCGGCTCTCCGCCTTCCGGGATGGAAGCCATGCTTTTGTTTTCCTGGGTGAGTTTATTCTGGACGAAAGCCACGGGATGACTGGAGGCCAAAAGGACGACTGCTCACACACACACACACGCGCACACACGCACAAGAGAAAGTTACCAAACAGGTGAAGTGTTCTTCTGTATCGGTTCTTAAACACATTTCAAACTATTAAAGCCGTCAGCGATGAATAAAAGGTTTGGATAGAGGACCAACTAGCAGGATAAACTGTTATTTAGTCTAAAGCTACTTTAAGATAGTTTCCTTTTAGCGCAATGCTCAGAGTGAATGTGAGTTCTCTCTCTGGTGAACAGTTACACAGAGTTTAGGGCTTTTATTGTGAAAGGTAAGAAGGGAAGGAAGGAGTGGATGTGGTCACGGTTGAAAGAAGTAATAAAGTTTGCCGTCTTAGTTCGGCCTCAGTTGCCTTTTTTCTTTTTTAAGTACCTACTTTAACCTACTTTATTAATATTTAGAAAAGGTTTTTATGATGTTTATTTAGGACATTTACTTTAAATCTATTATAAATCTAAATATTTGTGTTTTTAACACTCTGAAATATGTACAAAACCACACAAAAGTATGTGAAATGTGTAAAAATGTGAGGAGACATAGTGGCAAATATGTTGAAATAAGAACAACAACGCCCCCTGGTGTTAAAACAGCATCATGCCGCTTTATCAGGGACAAATAATACAAAATAAAAATAATTCTGATACCAAGCATCATGCGTCTCATACGTTACACATAATAGCGTTTTAGAAACACACACACAGAGACACACTCACCTGCTCTGGCTCTCTCCTTGTGTTGCCGCACTTCGTCAGCGTGAGCCTTCTCCTGGTGTTTGATCATGTTCTTCACGCTGGCGAAGCGGTTTCCACACAGCAGACACTGCACTCCGTTGTTCCCCTCTGAACACACACACACACACACACACACACACACATGGTTAAAAGTAAATTAGTTTATCACTCTCTTTATAGTTTCCTGAATGGCGTCATGTTATTTTAAAATAACTGCTCTGGTCTCTCTGGTGCCTCCTACAGTCTGTATGCAGCACTGCTTAATAAACAACCCTGTTTACTTAAATTTAGATCAGCTGGTTCCTGATTTAAATCACAAAGATCTCCATCTTTTCCTGTTTTACACTGAAGAAAACCAGCCAGTTGTTGCCAATAAACTGTAGAACTGTAGAAGTCTTCACTAGGGACGAGTATCGTGAGGGTCTGATGGATACTAGTACTCTTATCAGTTCTTTTTGATTATTCAGTGAGGAAACAAGACAATTAATTAAGAAAATAATCGACATTTCTTTATTATTCTTGTATGTAAACAAACAGTCTGTCTTGAGCAGCAACACAAGAAGTTCTCTAATCTGTAAATGGTAAAAACTCACCTGGGTGAAGTCGCCTCATGTGTTTCTTCAGTTCAGAAGACGTCACAAAACTTCCTTCACACTGCGAACATTTGTACGGAGTCTCACCTGAAATACATATTTATACAGACACACATTAAATATTCACACTGTGACACTCTAGCCGGCTGAAGAAATAACTTTACTTTTACAATCAACACTTGAAATGATGACAGGGTGGTACAAAAAGCATACTTTTATGTATCAGATACCATTGGAAACACTGGCAACAAGATCATAATGAGAATGAATATTAAACTACATTTAAATCGTGTCCTCTGAACTAAAAAGGAATCGGGTTTGAAATGAAATCAAACACTGTTAATTAAAAAGCTTCTCCAGAAGATACTCAGTCACTGATCCACAGAGGGAACCATAATTCATTTAATTAAAATGATATTAATTCTTTCAGCCCATAAAGGATTCATAAACAGTTACTCTTTGCTCCCAAATTTAAACCAGCGTCTGGACTGAAAACAAACAAAATAGAAAGATATTAAATGTAAACAGTAACTAAAGGAGAAGAAGAAGAACCCCTCTCACCGGTGTGTTTTCGAGCGTGTGCGATGAGCGACGAGGAGACAGAGAACGACATGCCGCACAGGTCGCACTGGTACGGTTTCTCTCCCGTGTGACGCCGCTTGTGATACGTCAGTGTGCTGGACTGAGCGAACGCCTGGCCGCAGATATCACACACGTAGGGTTTCTCCCCGCTGTGCAGTCTGAGGACACACACACACACACACACACACACACACACACACACACACACACA